ACATACAAGAGGGATTCGAAGACCCACGATCCATGTCTGAACAGCCATCACAGCGCTAGTGGATCAGGAAGCGACGCCCAACCCACCCGCCAAACGCGCCTTCCTCACTTCTCTCACCTCACCACCACGTACACACCACGCCCACGATGAACTCGGTGCGCGCGATCCAGCAGCTCAACAAGCGCGAGCTCGAAGCGGGCATTAACCCAGAAGGTTCATGGCATACCGACTACCGCGACACAGCCTTCATTAACATCGGCGGCCTACCCTTCGAACTTTCAGAGGGTGACATCATCACCATATTCTCCCAGTATGGCGAGCCGGTATGGGTCAAGCTTGCGCGCGACAAGGAGACGGGAAAGTCACGAGGCTTTGCCTGGATCAAGTACGAAGACCAGAGGAGCTGCGACCTGGCTGTGGACAACCTAGGTGGAGCAACCATTATGGACCGAGTCATCAGGGTCGACCATGCGCGGTACAAGCCTAAGGACGACGAAGATATGAGGGACAATACCATGGGGGACGTCGACCTCGACGCGGGCAATGAGTCCGATGGCGGCAGAAGGAAGCGGAGAAAGACGGAAAGCGAAAGCGACTCGGACGACGACCGACCACTACTACCAGAGGAGATCGAACTAGGGCGGCTTATGGAGAAGCTCGACGAGGACGATCCGATGCGCGATCCCATGATCAAGCGTCAACAAGAGAAAGTCGACGATGCCCTCAAGAAGCTGAAGAAGCAGAAGCGCAAAGAAAAGGAGCGGGCAAAGCGCAAGGATAGGCATAGTCGAAGAGACAGGTCGAGAGACCGAGATAGGAGCAAGGACAGAAGAAGGATCAAGGAAGCGGGAGAGGACAATGGGCGTGACAAGCACTCGCGTCGGAGGAGTAAGAGCCGCGACAGGAGCCCACGCGACGAACATAGACATCGGAAGTCAAAACCACGAGATGACTCGGAGGACAGACATCGTCGCCACCGGTCAGAACGGACTCGAGACCGGAGCGAGGATTCCAGAGACAGACGCGACCGACATCGAAAGCGCGAGCGAAGACGCTCAGGTTCCGACGGCGACGATGCAGGGCCCTCACGGCGAAAACCATCGCACTCACCATTACCATATCGCGCTCGTTCTCCCTAGTCGTCGGCTATACCCCTATGATTGTCGGCACAGGCTCTGTCGCTGTCTCAGTACTGTAGTATTATACATGAATATTCATCTATCGCTACGAAGTCAAGTAGCTGTTTATCCCAAGCACTACGTTCCAACCAACAGCCTCCTGGCTACCATCTCAAGCTGCACTTCTACAGCCCCACCTCTCCCTGCCGCTTCAAAGCCTTCGGTGACTATCTCTGTCAAACGCGTCAATCCACCCTGCTGTTCAAAGCGTTTTCCTCGGGACCAGGGCACAACCACCTCGATCTTCAGCTTCCTCAAACTGGTTAGCTGGTAGACTGGCTCAAGCCTCAACCGCTTCTTTACCTCCTTCTTTGGACCCAGCTTTACCGGCGCTGGCGCACGCGCAAAATCTGTTAGCCAGAAATAGTCCAACTCGAAGATTAGACTGCGGAGTCCGATGCACTTGGCAGCTAGATCTTCACCCGTGGTTATGTACACCCTCTGATGTTTCAGGCCGTAGGCGAGGAGATCGCCATAACAGAGCATGCGCACGTGTTTGAAGCCGTGGACAGCGGAAAGAAAGTTCATCAGAGGAACCACATGCGTTATGCTGCTTTTCAAGACTGTGAAGCGTGTGCGGCGGATCCAGACAGCGAGCCCTTCCTTGTGTAATTGCTTGCTGGCAAAACATAAATTTGGGAGAGTAGCTGGAGCTACGGTCAGGGGCGAAATGTCCTTGTATGCCTGGACGAAGTATCGGGATGAGAGGCCGTCCATTGCGTAATGATAGACCTTCTCACGTATCTCGAGCGGAAGCTGGAGAAAGTGTGGGAAGTAGTCTGGCACGTACTCTTCCCATTCCTCGGCCTTGTTGACGATGGCAGGACGTAACGGATGCGCTTGAGTTTTGCCCGGTCGAGGGGGGTGGCGCACTTTGCGTTCGCAGTGTCGGGGTACATGGAAGATGTACTTTGGCTTCCTGGGTATCTTGTGACTGCTTCTTCCCTGGAGACTGGACGCAAAGGCGAAACCGAAACCGAAACGCTTCGCAGCGCGATTAGCGGCTGCCAGCAAATGGATGAGGTAGAAAAGTCGTCCTACCATCACCGCGACGACGACTGCGAGAGCGACTCTGAAATTGAACTCCATTGCCTGTTCAACTAGAGTTGCCGAATCCGTTGAAAGGAAAGTTGAAGGTAGAGGGAGAGAAAGGAGTAATTTATCATCTTGGAGATTGCTCAACTGATGGGTGAGCGGGAGTTAACTGTGCTCAAAGCTTGAGGCGTGTGTGGCAATAACAAACAGCTTCTCGCCTCAAACCTGAAGGATTTAACAAACGAAGGGTTCGCAAATGAAGGGTTCACAAACGAAGGGTTCACAAGCATTTTGTGGCAGTAAGGAGCGTCTTGTAAAGAGAAATACAGGTGCCGACCCTCGATCAAAATACGAGCTAGAAAAAGTCAAATGCTGTATTAGGTGCCGAGGGGCTTCGATCTACTAGCTGACTATCTATCTCTATACGTTATTATCTACCGAGCGAGCTCCCTCATGTGAGACTCTACTACACCATGGTCTTGAATTCCATTCATCTCGTCCGAGACGAGCTGATCGACATTGCTCTTCTCATGTAGTAAAAGATCCAACTTTCACCCCCGCGAGCCAACGGCGTAGGCACCCGGTTCTCCCATTCCACTCTAACTTATCGACTGTTCATGTTGTAGCCCGGTAGACGTTCATCTCCGGGCAGCTCCCAGACCGCCTTGATCTGGCTCTGACTCGACAGTTCTGCATATGACTCCTCAGTCGATAGTTCGGCTTTATCGTTAAACTCTGCCACAGCGACTGGAGGCTCGTCTAAATGGGGAGCCACTCGTTTGCGTTTGTGGCGCCTGATGAAGAGTATCAACAGGGCGGTCAGAAGGCATCCTCCTAGAGCTCCACCGACTCCGGCGCCGATGGAAATTGCTTTGCTGTCGCTTTGGCCCGAATTGTCGGCTGGCGGGCTCGGAGAGGCTTGAGTTACGGACCCAGTACCAGTGCGCGATGGAGTTGGCAAAGGCGTGGTACTCGCACTCGAAATAGCGGATGAACTCAGTGACAGCGACGAACTACTCTCAACCCCTGTATACGGGCCTACAGTAGCACTCGTCAAGGTAAACACCGCCGTATCCGTTTGACAGCACCTCTGCCCCTCTGCCTCAGATTCACAGCAGTACTCTGCCTCCCTCCCGTATCCCTGCGAGCCACACTGCCACACCTTGACGCCATCAGCGCGAAAGTCATAGGCGCTAGAATTATTCGGCGTATCTTGATTGAGCTGACAGTTCTGTGGGCAGAGTGGGCTAGACCAGCTCCTATCCGTACAGGTGCCGCGTGCGTACTCCTGGCCGCTATCGCTCTCCGCACCACCCATAATGCAAAGGCCGTTTGTGAGACAGGCTGCGCGCGACCAGCAGCATCCTGTTACTTCCGCGTTGGGGTCGCATGGGACGTCGTGGGGTTGTGTGTCGCCGTTGGGTAAGTAGCAGATATTCTGGGATGAAGCGAAGCGGAGTAGGGAAATTGTGAGAACGAGAGTAAGGTAACGCATGATGAGGGATTGAGTGTGCACGAGATGGAGATGCGAAGGTAGTAAGAAGCATATACCTGTTGGGGTCATTACGGCCCCCAAATGTTCAACGTGAGACTGCATGCTAAGCGCCCAACATCTGACACCACAGCTACGCTGTCAGAACAACGCAACGAACAGCCAAAATAGTGCCGCAAGATGGGGCGGAAGCTGATTCAGCGTAGAATCACTATCCAATCATTTATATTCGGGTATAATTTACCAACGCCGCCCCCATCCCTCCTTTCGCCATATCTATGCAGCCTGTTTCTGGCCGGTGACAGGGCATACAGCCCCATCTGCCGCACCCTCTACGCTCGGATGTGTAGCGACCTTGCCCTGGTGGTGTCCGACTGTCGCCTTTGTGACTGGGCAGATGTCGCCGGCGTTCGCCTTGAGCATGTCTGGATGGTCGGGAGGAAGCACGGTTGTAGCTGTGCCTACGATAGGGCAGAGAGCATCGTCCATCTCTTGGGCCTTGGTCGTCTTTACGTTCTTCTTGAGCGCCGGGCACGATGTAGCCTCGGTGCCTTGGGTGGGGACGGGAGGGTGTGCGGAGAGGTTGTGGTGGTGGTCGCTGGTTGCGCCTACGACTGGGCACTATGGGTTGTATGTTAGTGATGTGCAACCAGATCGAGTATAGTATTTGGTACGTACAACCTGGCCATCCTTCGCTAGGTCGATAGAGGGGTGGTTTGGGGGAAGCACATCGTTTGTGGTACCGATCACGGGGCAAGACATGTTAATGGAAGTGTTGTTGTTGGTGTTGTATTACAAAGACTGGTGTAAAAGTTGTAAGAGTTGTAGATCAGCAAGAAGTGAAGAGGGGTATCAAAGCGGTGTATATGGGCTTGCTAGCAAGCGCCAGACTCTTGCTGCACCTTGTATGGCCGCCTCGAAGCTACCCCAGATTTGCAGGGATCGCGTCGCTAGCGCCTTTGTCATGGCCATCACGTCACCGCTGATTGGTGGAATGGCTCGAGCTTGAGCTCCTCAACGCGCGCCTTTCGAAGCTTCGAATAACAGCTAACCTTCTGCCTTGTTTCTGTTTCCGGACTATCGCGTTACAAATGAGTGTACCGCATGTCGGTGCTCAAGACTAATTGCTTTTCACGTTGGAAGGCATCATCATACCGAATTTATGATGCCCAGGTGGTTATTTGGTAATCAACTTAGGATGCCCGGCGATGACCTGTAAGCACCAAACTTAGAAGTTCAACAAATATCAGGATGCTGAACGTTTCTCTTTAACCAATAATACAGGACGGGTCTATCTAGACAGTTATAGCAGGTCCAGCCTTAACAAGGGCTTTTGATAATGCGCTCTTCATCTCAATGCGCGACTTCACTTCCGCCATATCTTTATCGTCCAGCTCAACCAGGGTCCCGCGAACACGTCCCCTCCAGCATCCCCATCGGCGGACCAACTCGACTTGGATACCGCGCACCGGATTCCGCTGAACGAGGAAGCTCTTCATCATCCACTTGCTTACTTCCTCTAGCACATCTAGATCGGCCTCCTTGCCGCCTCGAGATGGTCGCATGTATATGCCATCGATATACACCTCCTCCAACTTGGTACAGCCGAGAATTGTCTCCAGCTTGAATCGGTCGATGACTGTAGCCAGAGGAAGTGCCGTGCGTTCCCAGTCGGTCTCCGCACTGCTGAAAGTCACCTTATCGACATGAAAGGTCATGTCGAGCTTGCGAAGGTTCTTGCAAGCGACAGCTAACTCAAAGCTGGCGTTGGTGAGGGCTGGTGGGATGCGTTGGTGGTTGAACCAATGCATGTGCGGGAAGTTGAGGTGCTTCACCGCGTTCTCGCCGCCGCCACCAGGAATCGCCTTTATGAACTTGGTAAACCAAGTCGCGATCTTGAAGTTAGTGTTTCGGAACATGTACTTCAAATCGAATCGCTTGGTCCTCTGCAGCATCAGGACGAGAACTTCCTCATGCATCTTGTGGCTCACGAAAGCGAGGTTTGGTAGCCAACCCTTTGGGCAACGGCCCGTGCTAGCGTCCGGAAAGACCTTTGGATTCTGGTTGTCGCAAGCGATGAGCACGTTGGGATACTCCCACTTGCAGCACGGATTGCTGAATTCGTCGTAGTGCTGATGCTCGCTCAGGCGACCAGCATCACACTCCATCAAGGCATACTCGTGCATGATGGACTCGCGGAGCTCTCCAGGTAAGTTGAGGAACTTCTGGAACCAGTCCGGACAGACGTACGTTGTGTATTCGACCACCTCGGAAAACTCGCGGAATGCGGCGATTTCCGGGTCGTTCCAGTTGTCGAAGTCGTTGGTATACTCCAAATACGAGCTGCAAGTCATGCGGAAATCGTCAAAGATATAGTCCCGAACTTCTTTAAATCCGTCCATGAACCAGTCCATGTGGGTGATGGCTGTGGGGAAAGTCCGCCATTCCTCAAGTCCGTGTATGTACGCAGACTCATCCACGCAATACATACACTGACATGGGCATTCCCAGTCATCCCAGTAATCTTCATCCGAGTCATCCGAATCTCTCGCTCTGTTGCAGCAATGGTCATCGCGGCTGCCCCACGCATTCCAGAAACAGGCGTTCTCGTATGAAAGAACGAGATCGAAGAAGACGGCATCTTCGATCGGAGTGTATCCCATGTGACGGTACACAGTCAATAATGAGTCCGGCAGGGGTGGATAGGAGAGCATGTCCAGCGGCGGAGGGTCGTAGGCATGCTTCATGCATTGCATACCAGCTCTTGCCAATTTGGAGAATTCGCCATCGGCCAATGTTCTCTGCTGATACACCGTGCATATACTGATCATGTCTAGGAACACATTGTTCTCTGTGGTAGAAGGATCGTTCCAGTCTTCTGCGGAGTCATGTTCGTTACTGTATTCGATATAGCCTTCGGCGGTCAAAGTAAGATTCTGGAATGCCTCAAGGAGAACGGGATCCGGATCCTCGGTGGAGTGTTCAGGGGTGAAGCTCTGCTCAACTGTCTTTACGAAGGACGTGTAGGACTTTTGGATGTCCTCCTAGTCATTATCAGTATTGCCAACGGTAGCAATGAGTTCATGAGACTTACCGACACCGGGTAGTCGATGAGTTTAACCATGATAGCTCTGGGTACACTAGGTATGTAAACTCTTTAGAAAGATTCAAGATTCTAGAGTTGAGTGGATCGATCCGTTGGAGAAGGGCTGGGCGCGCAGAGAGCTGGGGCTAATATAGAACAAGGAGGGTGTGCTAGGCAGAAGAAAGCCCTGTAGCAGCAAGGGCGGGCTTTTTGCATTCACTGCATCGTATATTAGTCTGTGCAGTCTTGCCCCTTCGCAGAACAGGCACGAAGACCGTGGTTCTCGAAGGTGGGGGCAAAAGCACTCAGAGGTATGCTGCGAGTCCTCCTCGACCAGCTTGATGTTGACAAACTAAGTACATGGCTTGCATCGTAGCCGCACACAAACGATTGCTTGAAACATGACACATCAAGTCGCATTTCGATCGGCGTGCTTCAGAAGTTGTCAAAACACACTTTCGCCGGAGTTTGATAGATCAATAGTTCAACGAGTAAACAGAGGTTAGACTACCACGCAAAGCAAGCACACATGTCCCTAGATATGCCTTGAAATCGAGGATTTTAGTAAGGGGGTACCAAGATATCACAGGTTAATCACTCCGCAAGACAGCAAAGACAGAAAGAATTACAATGATGAAGGTCGTAAGTATAAACATTATTGAATCATCCTCCTAGCCTACTCGATTACTAGCTCGCCCTCTTGCTTCATATCACGGCTGCTTGCTCCAACCCAAACTGCATATCGGCCCCTCTGAAGCTCCCAAGCCTGAGCCGTAACGTTCCAGACACTCAGATCGCGTCGGTCCAAAGTAAACTCGACCTCTCGGCTTTCGCCAGGCTGCAACAAACCAACGCGTTCGAAACCTCGAAGCTGCTTCGCCGGCGCATTTGGTACGCCCAAATATAGCTGCGCTACTTCGTGGCCAGCGACCTTGCCGGTGTTGGTAATGGTGACTGTGGCGCGGTACAAGACTTGCCATAGCCAAGGGTGACCTCCTTGTACAATTGGCACAGATGTGGACGGGAAGGCAGCGAGACTTGCATTCGCCACAGGCTCAACTGTCATGTTCGCATAGCCGAATGTCGTGTACGAAAGTCCGTAACCAAACTCATACTGCGGTGTGATATTCTGTGCGTCAAAAGCGCGGTAGTCGATGTACAAACCCTCGGTGAAGTCCGACTGCAAGAATGCCGGGATGGAAGGGTCTAGAGTCGAATTGAGAAGGTGGCCGTAATCGGACTCTTGCTTTGCGACGGTGTAGGGTAAACGTCCGGATGGGTTCACATCGCCGTAAAGAACGTCGGCGATAGCGTTACCGCTTTCCTGACCAGGAACACCCGCGAAAAGGACGGCGGTGACGTTGGGGTGGTCAATCCATGCGTCAACGGTGCGGATGCCGGCGGAGTGCAGTACAACAACCGTGTTTGAGCAGTTGGTTGCAACGTTGTTGACAAGCTGGTCGCTGAACTCATCTGTAAGAGAAGTGCGATCGAAGCTCTCCGAAGCGTATGCGTTGATGAAGACGAGGCACGCGTCAGCGTTTGCGTACACAGTCGGGTTGACGCCAAAGAAGTCCCATCGTACAGTTCCGCGATCCGCAATTACGCGATTCTGAATAGCGTTGAAGGGGCTGATAACGTAAGGTGGGGTGCTGGAGCCTGATCCACCTGCCGTAATGAGGGTGCCGTTGAGCGTGTTCCAGCCAAAGTTCTCTTCATAGCCACCACCGAATCGGGATGGGTTGTTCCATGGCTGAGACTTTACTTCAGCATCGTAGCCGTAGATGTTCAAGAAGCGGGGGTGCTGAAGTGGTAGAGTGTTGTTGATGTTCTTGACCAGCACGGTTCCGGCAGCTCCGATCTCTCGGATGAGCGACGCGTGGTCTTCGCGCACGTCGACGATTTCGTGTTCGACGTTGTATGGGTAGACGGCGTTTTCAGGGAAATTATCATCTTGGTTGAGATAGAACCAGGCTGCGAGTAGTCTTGTGTTCATGTCATCGAGCCTCTCTGTAGTAACGGATCCGTTGTTAACCGCATCGGTAAGGTTCTCGCCCCAGAATTTGGCAACAGGCATCACCACATCTAGACCGGCATTGGCTGAGGCGACACCGGCGTGCTGCGCATCCCAGTCAGATACCACGAAACCCTCGAAACCCAACTCTTCCTTCAAAATTCCGTTCATAAGCTTGCTGTTCTGGCATCCATATGAGTTATTGATTCGCTGGTATGAGCACATCAGCGAACCGGCTCCTTCACGCAGGGCATCCATGAATGGCCAAGCATAGAGCTCATGCAGTGTGCGATCGTCCACATTCGAAGAGACAGCCTCGCCTTCGTCACCAGGGCGTCGCCTGTACTCTTGTTCTTGCGCAAGCCAATGCTATTGATACGATCAGCCTAGACCCTCATCGCATTTGCGATGTCGCCTACCTTTGGTGTAGCAATCACGCCCTCTTTCTGTGTGCCTCTAGTGATGAGACCACCGCCAATACCAGCAAGATACGGGTCGGCACCAAGACCTTCCCAGTTCCTACCACCCCTTGCGACTCTTCCAATAGGGCCGATGAATGGGCCGAGAGCAACGTGAATGCCCTTTCCTCTGTACTCTCTACCGAGAGCATGGCCATACCTGAGCATGAGATCTCGATCGAACGTAGCTCCAAGATGAATGCCAGCAGGGAATGACGAGACAAACTCTTGTCCTCGCACGCCGGCAGGTGCATCCGCGAAACATAGCTCTGGGATCTGAAGACGAGGTACAGCTCCCGTTTGGCCTACGCAAGGACCGGAGACGCCATGGGTGAGGTTCGACTTCTCCTCTAGCGTCAATTGTGCCACGAGGTCTCTCGCTCGAGCATATGCGGATGCCCAAGAAGACGAGGTTGTTCCATTGCCGACAGCTATCTGTTGTTAGTCCTTTGACCTTCAGATATGACCAAAACACTCACGGGTTGGATATACTGGCGGACTAAGTCCGTAGAATGGAACCTCCGACTCGTTGGTGTATCCTTGTGAGACCGCTAGATTTGGCAGTAGAGCAAAGCTCACCGCAACTGCGCTGGAGTATCTCATCTTGCGAAACTTCCGTGTGCAACAAGATGATCGCAGCCGTTGGCATCACGGGTAGCTAAATACCTCCGAAAATTTTGCATGCATCTCGCGATCTACCCACGTCATTCGGGATTCCACCGGGTTGCCATATCGGCCTCGTGACGAGCCATCTGCAATGCTACCGTTCTCCCCAACCGTTCTCCGCATTTTGCCTTGGCGGAGAGGGGAGAGCGGATACAAGCGTCGATGGTTGCTGGATGGAGGATGGTCGGCACGACTGGCTGTTGCCGACAAGCTAGCTTCGCCGACGATTTACCCAGATGCTTCTTCGCATCGCCCCGCTCTTTATTCCATGAAGCATAACATCTCCATCTCAAAGGTCTTACTCACTGTAGTTTTGCGATTCAAAATCGTCCTAAGTCGTAACAGAGCAGACCTTGTTCGATAAGACAAGATTATTTGCAGAGCCGGCTTTCACACGAACTTACCTACTCATCGTGCCGTAGGTCTGAATCAAATTCACAGTCGAAGCATCGCGATGCTTCGCCTGGCCATGATGCTTCTACGTTAGCACTGCTAAGACCTCGTCATCCATCTTTTCCAGGCTTTCGCTGTCGGAAGTCGGAAGTCGGTTCATGAAGAAGCCCCGGATAACAATCGACCGAACCCCGGAGCGATTTAGCGCGTCGTGCTTAGGCCGTGCAGCTATTCCAAGGTTGCGACCTCAGCCAAATGTTGGCGGCATCATATCGGCACGGTCGTTACTTATGGAGCAGCCTGGCTATATGATGACGGAACCTTCCGGAAAGCGTTGATGGCGTTGCTACAGTTCCCGGGTCTGACGCCCGTTTCAGCCTGACAACGGCGACGCCTTGGTGCCTCAGGTTCTGTCTCAAGACCGCCAACACGTGGAGAAACATGCATCACCCCAGCCGTTCCTCATTATCGGGACGTCACAACTGTCAATGCGCGTGGACGCATCTCTCTTATGGCGGATCACAACATTCCGCGGGAAATCCTCGGGTTTGCTGGCCAATTGCTGAGCTGCGATGGCATGAACGCTTGAACAATGAGCTGTGAGGCGAAAAGCCAGGGTCCAGAGAGAGACCAGTGCTCCAGAAGATTCTTCTGCCTTATGCTCAGGTACGGGTCGGGACCAGAGCTCCGCGTGGGAAAAGTGGTGGCGCGTTGACATCGCGGGTCTTGAATCAGGTCTGCCTGCACGCTCAGGCACAACCAGCCACCCTGCACCACGAATGTTTCCACCCCCACTCGAGCTGCACAAGGCATCACATCAAGGCACCCGGCTCCTGAGGCTCCGAACTTTATTGAAAATGTGGCGTTTGCCTCAATAGCGATACTGCATCCGCTCGTGGAAACGGGTTTTCTTTTCGTGCCTACCACTCACTCGTTTAGACACCACTTACTTTCAACTTAGCGCTCTGCGAGCAGCTGCCAGCTGGACTGTGCTTATACTTTACATTCATTTCATCTTGCATTTTTTCATCATCTTCTTGTACAAGAATGGGATATGGCAAATCGATATTGCTGTCAATAAGGGTCCTAGCCCTGATCGTGGCAATGGGAGTGCTGGGACTAGGTGCTTGGTGTAAGTATTGGTCTCTCAATCGAGAACATAGAAACATGGTACTAACCATTGCAATCAGCCCAGTTCATCATTCGCGATATGAAGAGCCGTGGTACCGAGATCATGGACGCGGTTCAGCCAGAGGCTCAAACGGCGGAGTATTGGAAAGAATACTTTGCTACGGTCTACAAAGGCGCCATCAAGATTTGGATCTCAGTCGCGGCTGTACGTTCAACAGTCATCGATCAATACCGTTGTACTAACATGCAGGCAGGCCGGCTTTGCTTCGCTTGCGGGCATTGTAGTCGTCTTGACGGCCATCATCCAACGCCTGCGCATACCCTCAGCGGTCCTTATCCCCATCGAATGCCTGTGCATGTGCGCCATGGCAGTCGCTCTCGGCGTTTCTCTCAGCTTCAACATGAGTCTCGAGACCTTTAGCGAAACGCGTCTCGACACGGCGAGCAACCCAAACCTCGAGATGTTCGCAATCCTGGTCGATCTTAGCCGTGGTTACACCGTCGCGGCCGGAGCGGGATGGTTCCTCTTCTTGATCACGTTCATCACCGCAACGATCGACGCATGCCGCCGCGCCCGAGAGAAGGAGAGCTGTTCATTCGAACCCACTGCATCGGCACTCGGCATGGGTTTCCACGGATACGACGCTGTTGTCCCACCCCCTTCACGCAGCCGCGTCCCCACGATGTACGATCCGCGCGTGCCCTCAATTCTGATCGACCCGAATGCGCATGGAAGAGCGTCAGTGGCTAAAGATGTCGAGATGGGACGCGCAGACTCTGTTCTCAGCCACGAGGGCAGGATTTCGCAAGAGTATGAGAAGGAAATATCTGGACCGCTGAGTTTAGAGAGGCCGCAAAAGGTGCAGCAGATGCGACCTTCACGACCATGGAGCGAAGTGCATAGGGCACCGAGGGCGGATGAAGTGATACACGCCATTTAGACGCCATTTAGACATTATAGGATCATGACCACAGTAGATAGATTAGTCAAGTCGACATTCGCTTACATAGAGAGAAGAAAGTATACAAGACAAAACTAGCCCAGTGAGATTGCGGTAACCAGATCTTGGTTACTTAGAATGCCGTTAGAGAAATTAGCCAGGGAAAGACCATCGAAGCTTGGGGGCAGTAGCTACATGCTGGCCAGAAAGTACCTAGGTACCCGGGCGCGTCGACCAGTCACATGACCGCGTCTCTAGCGCGTTTCCTTAGCGCGACACGCTCGCCCCTGCGTCATCGCCGCGAGTACATTCCGAACCCCAAACCTCAAACCTCACATCCTGCGCCTTACACGTCCGAACCTATCCCTCCCAACATACAATGGCAGGCTTCACAAAATGCGGCGGCGCTCGAGGCGGCAGCTCCTACAAAAAGACCTTCACAAAGAAACGCTCTTCCCCAGACGCCGACGACGACGCCGCGCCGCCGCGCGCAAGCAAGAAGACCAAATCCGGAGACGACGACGATGAGTCGGTACCAGTGGTGCCGGAACTGAAGACGGATGATAACGGCGATGTATATGTTGGTGTGAGTAGCCTCAACAGAAGAAACGGCGAATAATGGATAGAAGGATACTAACGAAAACGCCAGCTCAACGCTAGCGGCAAGCGACGCGTAACAGTTAGCGATTTTAACAAGAGTACGCTTGTTAGTATACGGGAGTACTACGTTACTGATGCTGGAGAGACGAGGCCGGGAAAGAAGGTATGCACACTCTATTTTCCCTTTCTGCCTCTTTAGAGGGATGAGTTTCTGACACGGGCTCCTCATACAGGGCATCTCGCTTACAGTCGATCAATACAACGCTTTACTCGCATCGGCACCGCTTATCGAATCTGCGCTCGCGAAGAAGGACATACAGGTCGTACGGCCGGATTACGAGGCTGATCTGAGTGCGAGAACCCAGGACAAGAAGGATGGCGACGAGGGAGAGGCAGAAGAGGATGAGGAGGAGAGTGCAAAGAAGGCTGCGGGCGAAGACGATGACGATGAGTGATAACTGAACGTTTAAAACGGAATTGTTGGACTACTATCCGATGTACAACTAGGGACACAATGGAGTTCCGGGCAATGGCTATATACTCTATCAAGGTCATCCGCATTGTAATCTACATCAGACATACTGGGAATTGTTGCCCTTGCCCTATTCCTATGCTCTGAACAACAAAGCCTGAACCAGACGGAAGCAAAACAATATCTGCACCTAGACCATCACCTCAATGCGTGCAGCAAGCTTCGAGACATTGAACGTATGTTCTCGAAGTGCACAGACATGTCATCAATATGACGGTACTCCATTTCTGTATCTTTGAAGCTGCTCTACCAAGAAGTTCACTCGTACAGCCTGCCTTTACGCAGTTGCCCACTCGCGAACTCCGCTTCATCCTCAACACTCTTGAGTACCACGTAGCCAACGTCGTTTTCCGGCTTCGCATCCGCAATCTGCACTTTCATCTTCCGCAGAAGCCGGCTGCGTTGAGAGCCGTCTAGGCCGCTGCCGCCTTCGGGGACCTTGACGTAAGGGTTGTCGCGTGTGAAGGCTGAGATGTATGTGAAATAGTCTGGGGCCAGTGTTGTCAAGTAGATGGCGATGTTCAGGATGCCCAGAAGGAGTAATACGGTGGAGGCGAAGAGTTGTGTGATGATCCAAGCGGTGTTCTTTTGGTAGACAGGGAACTTGGTGGAGAAGGTTGCATTCGCCGGAATCAACCAAAATCCACCGGCAGTGGTGTCATCAAAGATTATCTGTGGAGGGATGTCGTAAGGGTTCCACGCCGTGGCTGAGGACGAAAACGCACCAGCTTGCCACCAAGTATTCAACCAAAGGCTGAGCCGTTCCGATACTAGGTCATCTTCGTCGCGCTGGGTTGTTTGCACAGCATACTGTAGCCCGGAAAAGAAGGACCACGTCGCTTTCCCCCCTGAAGTTATAAATTTCCTCAAACTCTTGGTGTCGTTTGCGAAGCAATGAAGACGGCTGTGAAAGGGGTCTTCACATTCCTTTGCTTCAGATAGTGTCGCCCAGCTACGGCGAACCTTTTCAACCTCGCAAATATTTTCTCGACAGAATATGTGGGCATCTACTTTGATGAGATGTGGAGCACATTGATACACATCCGCCAGACCATCTCTCGAACTCGGGAGCCAATATTTGGGTTCATGAAGTCCAAACATGAACTGTATAGGCCGACCATCGGCTTCTGAAGCGCTGACATTAGAGCGGGTATCGTTCTCAGCCCCAATCCTGAAGAATATGGCATCCCCATCTGTCCATCCAGAAAGGGATACGCTAGTTTCTTGAGGAAACGGGAAAAGTTGATCAAAAGGGTCCGAGGCCTCGAAGTTGATGCTTGGATACAAGTTGGGAAAGTACAAGTCAAGATGTTCGAGAATTTCGACCACATTCCCAGTGAATCGTGACTTGCAATCCAGAGATATATATTGATGTACGACAACGAAAGTCGAGTTTGAATTGGGTGCGAGGCCTTGAGTATTAATTCCGATCAAAGAGGTGTAGCTCTCATTGGCCACCGTAGAACTCCACTCTGCCTCGACTTGATCAGGGAAGTCTTGCCCTTTTTCTACGTCCTTAATCCGTGGAATCTTGGGACGATTCCATAAGTCCAGCGGGCTGAGTTGAGTTCGTTGAGGGGTCATAAGGCTAGCTGTAAGTATGTCCTGGTTTTCAAACCGCATAAGATTCGGGTCCGGATTTGTGTGATGGATGGTGCCTGCAGTGTATATTGTATTTGTAGTCTCCTGGAGAAGTCGCAACGAACTTTGCCCACCTATGGGTGACAAAGCCCATAAGAACAGGATGAGAACAGAGATCAAATCCAAGGATCGGATACTGATGGCTGTACTGACGGCGGACACGAAGCTTTGACTTCCAAGATACTTTTCGAGCGCCTGTTGAGCACCATAAAAGTTAATTGTGGTTCTACGGAGGCAGTTCAGTCATCATTGCAAAGAAAGCAGTGGAAACCATACCTCAACAGTTGTCCCTCGTTCTGCACACCTGACTGCAAAGTTTCTCAGAGAACGGCCACCGAGCGCAGCGTAGACGAGTGGGTAAACAGTCGGGCCCACATTCATGGCACCCTGGACAAGCTTGCCGCGTTCGGACAGAGGCTGTCCGTCAAGCCGCCATGCCGTTATCGCCAACACTTCTTGATGTTAGCGGCAGATGCTTGTGTGGATCTCCATCCTCTCGACCCACTCACCGATGAACGCGAATGGAAACAGCACCAAAAAACAGTCCCCAGAATAGTAGAGCGCTGAGACGCCTTTCAATCGCTGCGAGGCCTCTGGCCAGCCTTGCAGAAGTGATTCCTCTCGCGCTTTCACTTCTCCGTCCCCTTTGATTTGGCAGAGCTCGATCGCTGCATGAGTGGATGCGATATTGCTTGAACGCTTAAATAGCGAGGATAGCCATGTAACTAGATGCATGATGCTCATGTTAAGGGAAGATACGCTTGTAGTCAGGCTGAGGAAAGCACTCAGACTTAAGGGTTCACGCGCGGCCTTTCAGCCTACTCTTGGCAAAGTCAAATGGGGAGGCAATACTGGCCAGGCTAAATGCATGGCGTCTGAGCCACAGTAGCAACACGGGAGAGTAGCCAACCCACCCTCGTGTAAGAGTTCGTACTCGCCTTATCAGCTAACGTTGATCCCAAAGACTGGTGACCAAAAATAGCATTGTCAGGAATATCGCGGAAGCCTTTAATATGCCTGAAGAGCACATCATGACTTTGTATTGTGTCGTCATAGCTGCGACAGCGAATGTTAGAGTGCAACCACTCAGCCTTGTTGGGGCTGGAGGAATTGATCAGCGTATAGCCTCATAGCATCCGGGGTAGCTGCAGATACCACATGCATGCTACCCTAGTAGAGACCATGTTCTCAAAGCCTGACGGCTGTGTACATTGCACACGGCATGTATAGGTCGCGCTCGTCGGGTTCCACGATAGACTTGTTCGAAGCAGCGAGAACCGTCGGCTCTCCGCAATGTGTAATTCGTGATCTTTCGCTCACAAGTCTCGGTTTAGTAGCTGGCAGGCTGTAGGTAGACATACGAAGACAACGAGATAGATGACCATTTTTTTTCGGGCGCGACAGGCAGGAGAATAGAACGAGATGGCATGTATGCGGGGCTCATGACGGTCAATGCGAGAGACCGACAAAGCGCGCCAACTCATAATGTACTAGCGCTGTCGCGTCCTCGGCATCGACCCGTGGACGCGTCAATCTTCCACCAGCCACTCCAGATGTCTTCACCCTTACCTGCATTGCACTGGCTGTAGACACCCACTAAGACACGCGAAGCCCCTCGGCAACGGCGATAGCATATCTCTTTCCGTGGAATCAGCATTGACCGATATTCCAGTCATGGGCGAACAAGTGAAGGCGATCGTTTCATTATGCTCATGGAAGAGCTCGCGTATCGGCTAAAGTTATAAACAAGAACAAGTATGTGAACAGCAATGTGACTCCACCGAGTTAACCAAACAAACGCCAGACCCAGGGACCCAAATGCGTACATCCGCCGATTCCTATCCAAACACCCGATAACCAACGCCGAAAAAAACATCTCAAAGCTCGTCATACCGTTCGTTCCTCGTGAACCTGCATCCCAACAAGATCAATGCCATCCAAACTTCGTCATGCCGTGACACGTACACATAAGCCATCAATCATGCATTGCGACTTCGAAGAACACGTCGTGGTCAAGCTCGACATATCAAGCGGCGATGCCAACTCTAGAACCCTCAGAGGGCGAGTCGAAGCTTCAAACCGGGAGTTACGGAGCGAGACGCAGGAGCGGGTTCGTCTCAGCAGTCGTCAATAGATTTCGTAGATGTGGACCTAGCCGACAGTGCTTGCCTCTTCCTCAGCCGCGCGCCGGAAGTAATCAGCGTCCATTTCGGACTCGTTGAAGGCAGCGGTAGGCAGATCAGTACCAACACCCGAGTCGCTGGGTGGGGCATAGTTCTCTTTCATCTCTTCCTTCACGGCGTCAACAGCACGGACGATTTCTGACTGTGTTGGCAGTTCCACGTCGTTCTCGGTAGTGGTGGTCGAGATTTCGGAGCCAGTGACGTCTGATGGGTTGATAGTAGCAGTGGGTTCATCGTCTTCTTCGTCTTCGGAGTAAACAGAGCCCTCCTCGTCGATGCGCTCTTCACCGGGCGCAGCAGAGCGAGCTGACTGAGCACCATACGAGGTGCGGCGGTCGATGTCGCTACCAGTCATGTACGAGGAACCGGAGGCGTATGTGTACTCGCTGCCTGTGCCACCAAAGCTGGAGCGACCGTCATAGCCTGGCGTCTCACCCTCAGCGTAGTCGCGGCTGTCGAGACTGTAACGACGCTCAGTACCGGTCTCGCTCTGTGCGTCCTCCTCGATGATTTCGTGCGAGATCGGCGCTGTCTCGTGCTCATCCTCCTCAGGCAGAACATCATTCTCCTTGTTGGCAATGACGGCGCTAGGGCGACCGCCCCAAGAGCCCTTGCGAGAGTAGTTGCTGGTCTTGACAGAGTGGCTGCGCTTCAGTCCGGCATTGCTATCAACCGAAGCTTTGGTTGTCGGATAAGCTTGAGCTCCTGTAGGGGCGTTGCCGCTGATCTGACTAAGAGACAGGATGCGGCGTTGTGCTGGGTTGGCAGGTGCACCGTTGCGACGGATAGCAGGGCGGGGCTTGAGCGCAAGAGAAAGACCATTCGCGGCAGTGCTGGGAGGTGGCATGGCCCTGGTGTCCTCATTGGCAGCGTCTGCGTTCATGCGCTTCTTGAGCTTCGAAGCGTTCTTCGAGCCGCCCTTGGTCATCATCAGAGCACGGGAGTGATCCATGATGCCGTTCAGGATGCGACGCTCGAGTGCGTCAGCCTTGGTGTCCATGAAGTGCAGCTCCTCTCGTCGAATGTCAAGCGCAGTGTGCAGAGACGAGACTTCACCAGTAAGGCGGACCTTCTGGTTGGCGAGGTTCTCGCGCTCCGC